GTACACTCATCCAAAATATTACAGGTAATTAGGGCTAGTATCGTCCAATCCTTGTGTTTGGGAGGTGACCACCCTGTTGAATTGCCAAATATAGTGACCGACGTTTCAACTGTGTGCAGTAACCTATCTTTGGGGCAAACTACCATTCAACACAGTACTATTAGCGATTGCAAGTTCATAAAAATGTCATCCACATTCTCTCCAGATAATGTGCCTATTGTGGGGGCATATTTTTTATATGGTAGACCAAGGGAATTTTGTCCAGACTCCGGGTTGGATACCACCATTCTTTAATAGCTTAAGTGTCTGATGATATGTCACACTGTGGTTTGGAACCCACCGTAACCTGTAGGTCCATATATCAAGAAAACAAAAATGGAAAGATCCTCCAAGCGGGAAGAACTGACCCTGTTGAACAAATCACTAAAAGGCATAAAACACGATAAAAACGTGTATCTATTGTCCTATATCTTGGAAAATCCATTAACCCTCGTAGGAAATCACGATCCTACTCAAATCTTTCGCAATTTTCACAAAGACTCAAAAAAACCTTAATTATATTGTCATCTTCAGATTTAGTATTTACTATGCGTTTGTTGAGAAAGACTTTGCTATATCTTCTAAGTACCACTTTGAAGAACGTAATACTACTGTATGTAGCGTATTCTCAGCTGGTATAAAAATAAGATGTAATAATCCAAGGCGTATAATAATTGACAGGTCATTAAGTGCTTAAATGTAAAAAAATGCAGTATACTATCAGCAGATAATATATTAGCCATTTTTCAGCAGCAAAACTTTCGAAAAGGCATGTGGCAGTCGCTAGATTAAACTAAATGTATGATATAAAAGGTGGTTGATAATTTTCCTGCCATTAAAGAAGTTAATGTCAGGTTAATAGAGAGGGTTGGCAGCGCTGGTCTTGTCAGGTTGGCAGCTCTGCTCTGGTTTGCCGCCAAATGTCCCGCATTTAACTCTTCATTAGGGGTTTTTATAGGGCCTTATGCATTTTATGAAATTTAAAACACTGTATTAAGCCTTTGCCTGTAAACACCCCCACTCCTGGTTACAATGACATGATCCCTTTAGGGTTTGTATACGGATTTTAACTTTATGAAGGTTATCATTAAATACACTCATAGGATACATTTTCTAATTTGAATCATATCGTTTCATCTGCCTTGTACTTATAAATTGTTTAGGTAGCCTAATTAATTTTCACCACAGTTGGTTGCACAAACTGGAACAACATATTTAGTTATATTAAATCATTAAAGGGATGACAACAGCTGTTTGGAAACTAGAGAATCCTTTCCTTGGTGTGGTTTGAAGGAAGATTGACTTTTCCTCCGCATGAAATATGCTCGATCTCGCATTACAGTTTTCTTTCGTCTTCAAACAATTTTACAATAAGCTGCAGATTGTGTAAATTATCTGTAAAAATATAATGCTGAATAGATTTAAGAAAAGGAACTTAATTCATTCGTAAGCGTATGTAAGCCGCAGAAGGATGATAAATCAAGTTGACAGGTCCGCAGTCTGTTTCTACCTTCTACGCGACATACGTTGGGGCTCTTCTCTTAGTATACTAGAATATGTTTTTGATAATTGTCTTATATTTTTATTGAACGAAGTGAAGCTCTTTAGGATCAATTTCAATGCAAACTTTATAACACATAATCCCAATAACCGCTGAACATATTTTAGCCAAATTTACCAAGGTTGTTTTGTCAAATATTTGGATGGTTTAGACAAAACCAAATTGATTTTTGATTATGCCTATATAATTTAAAAGTAACTCAAAGTTTTTAAATTTTACCATGAGTCTTATGGGTTGCCATGATGGTTACAAAATAACGACGTAAATTCAATAAAATACCCCCGCCGCAGCAAACCTGCAGACTAAGCGAATTTCCATTTGACTGATTGGATTTACACTGAAATGTCTACTTAAAAATATAACATTTATTCCCGATTTAAATAGAATTAGTTTAACAAGTACTTAGGTTTGCTGCATCAGGGAGGGTAAAACTGTTTTTTTTGTTTTTTTTTTGTAAAATGTTAATAGTTAGTAAGAAATAAAAACATTTTCCAAATTTGATCAAAATATGTTTATAAACAAGCAAACTACAACAGTTTACTTATTCTCCATAAGAATAACATGGAAATTTTAAATTTACAATTTTTTGGAATTTTCTCCGTAACCATTAGGCGCATAATAACGCTTCAATATACTAAATTATTTGTTTTTTTAAGCTCTACAAAATGGTTTGGAAAGAAATTGCTAAATTTTATGTTTTTTGGGTCAAAAATGGGAAAACCTATTTTTACCCCATAAAACCCCCCGTAAACCCCCGTTCCCATGGTCCGATCATGCTGGATCGCGAACTCGTTCAAATAAACGTAGGTTTACACGTTTGTACCAAATTTCATCAAAATCGGATCATTTTTGCTCGAGTTATTGTGCTAACGGACATATATATATACTAGCTGTACCCGCGGGCTTCGCCCCGTTTAACTTCATAAGCATTCGCATGGCTCATTCACGTCCTGGTTGAAGTTCGTTCGCTACGCTCACTCACCTTTAGGTTGGAGCTCGTTCGCTGCGCTCACTTGCCTTCAGGTTTGCTCGTTCGCTACGCTAACTCGCCTCCAGGTTGAAGTTCGTTCGCTACGCTCACTTACCTTTTGGTTGCAAATTAGCTATTGTCATAAATTAAAAAAAAATAATAGTGCTGCACCCTGTTGGTAATCCTTGTAACTTTTATGCTATTAAAGATCATAGAACAGAACCAACTTGTTTAATTGAAACAGCTGTTAAGATTCATTAATTCCTTTTAAATATGAAAAATCATAAGATTAACATGGGGAACTACAGAGCCACTGGGGCGGAGCCCGAAAGGGTTTTTGAGATAAGAATATGCTTTAATGTTAATCGGGAATGTGAGCTATCATCATGCCAAATTTCAGTCCAATCCGTCCAGTAGTTTATGCGTGATTGAGCAACACACACACAAACACACACACAAACATACACACAAACATACACACAAACTCACAAACTTTCAGATTTATAATATTAGTAAGATAAGATATATATATATATATATATATGAATTTGAACCGGATGGTGTTTTTGGCCTCTAGGGATCTCAAAACGAAAAAAAATCGGTCCCGCGTCCAGGTCTTACCATGAGTACTACGGTAATAGCTTATTCCCTATATGGCAAATTCGCTAAAAACGAATCATAGCCATCGATCTCTTCATAGCATATGTTAAAATCAAGCCACTACCATACTTAAAGAAAGATGACGCTGTGATTGTAGCTAGTGTGTGTTATGTCTATGTTATGTTCTATTGCATAAATTTTGTTACACAGTACAAAGGAAAAAGAATCGCATGGTAACCACTGATCAAATAATACAGAGAAAGTCTTAAGTGTAATGTCATATTAAGTTAAGTAAGCACTAAAAAAACAAAGTCAGATTCTAAAAAATTATAAAATATTTACAAGAAATGATCATTATGACGAACTGTTATTATCAGCTCGAGTATTACCATTAGTTACATAATCTTTTAGTTGAGTGTTATAAACTCATCGAAAATTATGACCATCATTAGTCATACAAATAACTCCTGTAATACAGGTACTTGACAATTGCTCGATTTCGAGCAACAGGTTCACTAGTTAAGTGTAGATTGTGTAACTAAGTTCTACAATCTACATAAAAATCCATTGCACGTCATAGCTGCATAATTATACACTCTAGTAAATGGTTGTTTCTCAATAAATTACATGTTTATCACTGCAGTCGAATGCGTGACAGGATATTCTCTATGAACCTTTATCCAAGCATTGTTTCGAGTTGGTTTAGTGAACATATTGCGACACAACTTAGAATAATATAGTAGGTAATTATATCCTGGAGAATTGTATTTTGCATTAAGTTTAGTTTCAAGTGAAGTTTCGCCTTGAGATAAAGAGGAAAATTTTAATGTTTACTGAATATGCTGTGGTATCGTCTGATTTTATGTAGGCCTACCCCTTTTACAACTGTGTATTTTCTGAAAGACTTGTCTATTGTTTACTGGATCAGTATGTCACCTCCGAAATAGCCCAGTTCCCAATGGCTCTTTCTGATAATATCAAACAGCAAATAAACTCCGACCACCAACAACAAAATTAGCCGCACGTTTATTGTAGCCGCAGCTTATCAATTTATGACAGAGAGAACCTTGTGGAGGAAAATAATAAGTTTAGCACATCAATCAATTTTTGAATTAAACAAATGACAATTCTTGGTAGATTGCAGGTTCAGATACCGAGGTCCCGGTTTAAAATCCCCTTAATTGCCAATTGATTTTATCTATTATCTATTATTATTATCTATTATTGGTGCCACCTTCTATGATTAGCTTAAAATAAGGTGATAACGGTTACGGGCTATACCTTGTAGGTGAGAACCAGCATAATCAGACAGTGTTTTATGGGGTAAATGAAGTTTCCTATTTTTGTCGCAGATTTTTACATATTTTGTAGAGTTTAAAAAACATACTGATTTCATTTTTGAAGCGTTGATATACAAATTAAGGTACTAAAAATTGCGAAACCCCATAAATAATTACCATTTCATTCTTATAGAGAATAAGTTTGGTAATTGTTTATATGTATTAAACTGTTAACCGTTATTTGAATCATTGGTTCCCAATATGCATTTAATCAAATTAAATAATTTAAGTATGCCCATTTCATATACACAGTTCTATTGAACAAGAAACATATAAATCATGTCATTAAACAATTCTCTAACAGATTCGTAGTTTGCAAATCAAGTATATGAACTGTTTGACCTTCCTATCATTGCTCACGTCATCGGTGCAAGTGAAGTGATTTCTGCATCTCATAACCCCCCCCTCTCTCTCTCTCTCTCTCTCTCTCCCACTCACAGATTACAACTCTGTTATGTCTCCTGTGGCAATTACAGTCGTAAACAAATATCAATTATCCAATCAGCTGGTAGAGAAACTGCCAGTCATTGTTGTTTAGAAACAATCTGTTCGGAATAACTTCAGTATCTCTAGTGTTGCTGTGGTAAGTGGATTCATGTTTACAGTTTATATTTTATTATCTTTACTAGCAACAGAGCCCGTTTTGTTTAGATCCCGTCTCTAGGAAATAACAGTTATGGAATCCATGCACCATTTAAAGTCACTAATATTATTGGTACAGGTTAAGCACCTTAAAAACACACACATGACGTAAGGAACACACTTTGAGACAAATACAAATTGTGAACAACAACATGCAAACAAATAAAAATTAATGAAATAGCAATAAAAAAATCAGCTACACATTTTTTATATGATTAAGCCTAGATGCATACCAGCAAACCCATTACAGTACTGCCATAAATCTATGCTAAAATCAAACTTTTATAATTATTAGCAAATCTACGTGGATAAAGGTTTCATTGACATATTATTTAATAAAATCTGTCAAGTAGAACTTTATATCCAAGTGAACCAAAGTGGATGCAATATTTTGAAAGAGAATACAATTTCCTACAAATTACTATTAAGAATTTCTTGAAAATCCTTTATAAAGGCAGCCAATATTTGGCTACAAATTTAAACTTAAAAACAGAAACTCGAAAAATTGGTTTTTATTTTTTTACTTTTGGGGAAAAGTAAAAAAATTAAGTAGGGGGCCACAAGTATTTAATAAAATTACACTTTTATAATTATTTACAAATCTATATAAGTTACGTTTTCCAATAACCCATTAATTAACAAATCGGTCCAGTAGAAATCTAGATTTAGTTGTACAAAGTTTAAAAAATATCACTAACTCGGTATTTTCTCACTACTATAAATTTTGAGTTTGGTTAGCTTTTTTTGCGAATAAATTTTTAATGGTGAGGAAATTTACCAAAGTGGAGGGTGGGATTCTGAGAGAGAATTGAATTTCCTACGAATGATACCATGCATTTCTTGAAACTACTCAAAAAGGCAGCCAAAAGTTGCATCCAAATAACAAATGTGAATACCCCCGTTTTCAATGTATTTCTTTTGTCACATGTTTTTTGTCACTATAAATCATCAAGATTAATATATTTTGATTATATTAGGAGTTGAAAGCGTGAGTGATTTAGAATATGTAGAATATGACAAAATGGTTACAAGAAGTGGACCATTGAATTTGGATACTGCGAGTAGACATCATGTTTAACGTAAAGTAAAACAGATTGACTTTGGATGATTTTATATAAATATGCTTGCTCCGCTCAATATTGCAAGCAGATAACTGCATTGTACATCTAGAGTAAAGGTTGGTCCATAAATAACGGATCATTTTTAAATTAGCCATTAATACGTGTAGAACTTTCATTGTTGTACTAAACAACCAAACATTTCGAGCCATTTGAGTAATCGTGGATCGTTGGACAGTACAAAACCGTGCATTTTGCATAGAAAACTGTTAAAAAAATAATGAGTCTGTGATTGTAGCTCAGTGGTTGTTACGAAATTATTTTGACGTGCGTCATCATAATGCGGTTTTCTCTAGGAATGCTATCTATAGCTGGGTGTTCAATTTAAGATCTAAGGGATCTGTTTTCAATAATAAATCTCCTAGGAAATAAAGTTATACGTAAAGATGAGAACATCACAAAAGTTCGGGAATCTTTTCTCCGAAGTCCAAAAATATCGGTAAGACCAAGAACGCATTCTGTTGCTTTAGCTTATTGTAAATATTGCGTTGTTAAACTTGATATTTGTTTAGCTAAAAGTAATATTATGAAGATATGAGTGTATAGGATTGGTGCTATATTTATATTTGCTACTGACTGATATTGATGTGTTCTTTAGATATGGTAATGTTCAATGGCTGATGACTTTTGACAAAGTTTACATTATCATTAGCAAAGTTTGATTGACCAGGACACTTTGGTTACAATGGTGTGATGGTACAATCTCGAGAGAATTAGAAACAATTCATTCAGTCATCATTTAACTCTGACCGGTCTAAATGGAATAATCAAATCCGTCGTATTAAGTTGACACTTGAGTTTAGACAGAACTGAGAGTTATCTGGACAATATGGTAATCTGAGAGTAAAATGTGACGAGCCGATCAAAACTCCTTCAGATCAACTTGAATTGGAACATCTAGAATAAACATGTATATCACCATTGTTGTATTGATATAGTACAAGTATCTCAGATTTTCAGAGTTAAAAGTATGACATTTTCTGACTTGGAAACCTGTATTATTGTCAAGTTTTATGACTACTGACATACTTCTACATTGGGAAGAGATTATTTTTCAAACTGAACAATCAACCTTGCAATCGGATGTCGATTTATGTACAAAAACACGTTCTTTTAGCAAATAATGTTTGTAAAATGGTATCGTTGCTTTTGTAACGTGTACGCTTTATTTGCATTATGTTAGAAATAATCGATATTAGTGTGTACAGTACAAAACCATACGTAATTGCACCAACTCTTGTTTTAAGTGTTTGCATTTCTAAAATTGAATTTAAAATTGATAAAAAAATAATATGGGCTGGTGCAAGGCCCCACTAGAAAAAACATGTTTTTCTAGTGGGGCCTTGGCTGGTGACAAAGTAACAACGACAAATATACATAAAATCAAAACAAAATTGTAGAAATTTCAATCACATGATATATTTGGGGTGAAAATAGAGAAGTTTGCACAATACATATTTTTGATCGAGTTTACGACCACGAGGGGGTCACTAGTATCTATAATATCTGCCACATACAGTGGAAGAAAACCTTATAAGGTATACGTGTTTTCGTAGAATAAAATTCTATGACGACATATTTTCTGTTTCAGAATTTCTGTCCAATGGCGGGCATTTTGACAACATCGTTGCTTTCTTTAAGTTTCGTTTTCGTAACTTTGATATTCATTTTCTACCTATTCGTCAAATCCCTTTACACATACTTTGAAAAAAGAAACATCCCTTACGACAAACCAACCTTCCCATTCGGGAGTTTCTATTCATGCGCTCTTTTGAAGAAATCTTTCGCAACAGTTATATCTGACGTTTACTTCAAATACAAAAAACACAAATTAGTGGGCTTTTACTCCTTTTGGAAAAAACAAATCCTCATAGCTGACCCTGAAATAATAAAGAACATTCTGGTCAAGGACTTTGACGTGTTTGCCGATAGAGGTGTTTACTACAATAAACAGAAAGATCCGTTGTCAGCTCACTTGTTCGCTCTGGACGGCAAAGAATGGAAACCTCTTCGAGTCAAGATTACTCCAACCTTCACATCGGGGAAGATCAAAGGCATGTTCAACACAATTGCGAACTGCGCGGAGGAAATGAACACCTACGTTGAAACTAAAATGTCCCAGAATAAGGCTGTGGATGTTTTAAAGGCATTCTCTAGGTACGGACTGGCTGTGATAGCCAATATTGGTTTTGGACTGGATAGTGACGCTCTGAAGAACGACGACTCCTCCTTTGTGAAGATGGTCTACAGGATGTTGGAGCCTACGGTGGAGAGGTTTGCAGCGTTCATGTTGGCATTCAATGAGAACCTTGCCAAGATGCTTGATGCGCGAGTGACGCCAAAAGTTGTGTCAGACTTCTTCCTTGGGATGGTCTCTGAGACAATCAAGTACCGAGAGACAAGCCATGTAGTCAGGAACGACTACCTTCAACTGCTTCTACAGCTGAGGGAGTCTGGCCTCACGAATGAGGAAGGTGAGAAGATTATGCACTTATTACGATGAATTACACAGGTTAATTCTCATGATACATCCTTTGAATTATCTCAAAAAAGGAAAAAAAGTATTATATGATTAATTATGGCATAATGTATTTATTATGGCAATATTATTTGAAGTATCCTCACTATATTATGAAATGTACTTTGGATAATGCTAGTAAACTTCTCTTCATATTTTATAATGTTAGACAAGTTTCATAAGCGATTAAATTGAGTGCACTGATGAATATATGTTTTATCTCATTCATAGTAATTTGGGGGAAAGTTTTGAGTTAATTTAGGGTAATTATAGAATCGCATTCTTCATTTGTCTGCCAGGAAGACTTTTGACTTTCTGACTTTTGAAACTAATATCCTGATTTCCAGGGGAAGGCTATAACTTCACCAATGAAGAGATAGCAGCGCAGTCCTTCGTGTTTATCCTTGCTGGGTCTGAGACTACTTCAGCGACGCTGAGTTTCTGTCTGTACGAGCTCGCGCTGAACAAGTCAGTGCTGCACACGCTGCTGACGGAAGTCGACTCTCTTACATCAATCACATACGATAGCATCAACTCTCTGCCGTACTTGGACATGGTTATTGACGGTAACCGTAGTTCCTTGGTCACAGTTTCGTTGGGATTCAATCCATGCTTTGTAGATACAGAAGCACTTCCTCTCACCATGGTGAAAACATCAGCTGGAGTAGATGGCCCCAGCTGATTTTGGGCTTAGCTTTAAAAATTAGTCCCCTGAGGAAAATGGTCCCAGTTAATCAAAAGTTCTATTTCCTACAGTTACCGGTCAAATCGGGCTTTCTTGCACTGATTATAGCATGCGAAGTTTAATTCCTGCATTTACTTACTTTCCCGCACTCATTTTACTTTCCCATACTCCAGTATTTGGCCAAAAAATACTGACTCAAGCAAACAACAGAAGTAATTTGAATTATTTACGGTTTTGTGTTGGCGAAGGAATACTTGTTGCATCTTTATACCAGTGACAGTTGTTCACTTAAAAAAAAATGAAAAGATAGAAACCAAGAAGCTTTATTAAGGTAACCAAAGATTTCAGTTTCTTAAATATTTAGCCAGTTTGCTTAAAAATAGTGCAGTAAAACACTGAATACAGTTCGCCACACGGACAAAATTGTCTTATCGGCCCTCACTCAATTTCTGACTTGTTTTACCTCGGTCGTCACACCGAGTCCCCTAGTTATGAAATACACTATTAATTATTTGTGTTTTTGTTTTCAGAAACCTTACGCAAGTATCCGCCTCTAGGCTTCCTCAATCGTGTGTGTTCCCGCGACTACTACGTACCTCAGGCTGACACCACCATTGAGGCGGGAACACAGGTCTTCATCTCCATACAGGTAGAAAATTATCTGTGTGAAAAAGCATGTTTTTCTACATTTAAACTGTCGATAGTCAGGGATTGCCCTAGTGCCTTATAATGGTGATTGCGAAAGCAAGACACTAAGGAAATTGAAGTTACTTAAATTCAGAGGCTAGGCTAATTCGGATGAAATCATCAGTATTCTTCCCTTAAAAATACCACTGATAATTTTTGCTTTAATTATTTTGACGTAATTTAGATAGTCTGGTAACGTTGCACAGCTTCGGTGGAATTAAGTTTTGTATTAGTATTATTGGAGTTTTTTTTCTTTTAATTACAGTAATGTGGTTGGTTAGTGACAAATTGAGAGGCATTTGATGAATACCCGTGATAGCACGCACGATTATTATTCACTTAATTTATGTTAGATTGTGTGTGTATAGAACGAAAGATAAAAATACTAAGGCATTGTCATCCCTTTAATTGTTTATAATACTTTGATAAAGGTTTTTATGGTTTTAATATTTAACATTGGAAAATTTAACCGTTGTTGAGTGCACAGGTGTGTTGCGATTGGGGTTTAATACATTTGGACTTATTAAAAAGTTAAATAGTTTTCTGTGCTGCACTCTGTAGAAACACTGTGACACTATTTCAAATCATGACTAATGCTAATACAGACTGTTGTGATTATTCTATCCTAAAAAACAGTTGGTGAAAGTAAACATCTGCTTTAAAATTGTATTTATTTGTAAACATTGTTGATCAAAAAGTCTGACATTGGCCCACCTAAAACCCTCTGGGGCAGAGCCCTTTTGACAGATCTGCACCATACTTCACTCGAACCATCCTTGAATACAATCTGTCGAGCGGTTTTGGAGTCCATAACGTATATACATATATACACACATACATACATACATAGTTCCTCTTTTATAGATATAGATGTTTACTTTCATTAAATGGTCAATGTAAATAATTTATTTAGCCCCCCCCCCTCCCCCCTCACCCCCCAAAATAAACTAAAAATAATTGTCAGGGTATTTATGGCCAAATGTGGTTTTTGTAACCTTATACAGTACAAAAATATATTTTTCCTACAGTCACCCGACAAAGTTGGCTTCCTCGTACTGTTTATAGTACAGAAAGCTGCTAATTGCTGCATATTTATACTTTGCCGTACGGTTTATACTTTGCCACACATCAGGATTCCAACGAAACAACACAAAACAGCGTGGTTCTATTATGCACGTAATCCGTGTACGCTTGGAAATAGGTTGGCAACACTTAAAGATAATAATACTATGAGCAGCTGATTAACTATTATAACTACGATTTAACCTGTCATTTCGTGTTTATAGTTTCGGTATTTCTGAACTTTCTGGACTTTTCTTTTAAACTGTTTTAAAACATTCCTACGATCTTAATAAACAAGAAAATACCTTTAAAGCATTTTTTAGGCGCGGAAACCACTTCAAATTACAAAAACATACGGAACTATATTCTCAAAACGCGGCGCACATTTCTTGCCGAGGAAAAATAGCGGAGTGATACGGACCACGGGTACTACTTTCTCTAGGGCACCATTTGTGTTGCCAGCTGAACCTAAAAACGTGTTGTATAGTGTTTGCAAGACTATTTATATGCTTTATAGTGACTGTAGGAAAAATATAATGTGTAACACGATTGCAAAAGGCCTTTGCTGCACTCGTGATCATTCCAAACATGAGCAAAGTTTTGTAAACATTACTCTCGTGTGCAGCAAAGTGCCACTTTGCCCACTAGTTACACAAATAACTATTTCTTTACACTTCAGTGAAGATGGCTGCTATATGCGTTGCAGGGCAAAAGTTGTTCAAAGAGAATCAACTGGAGCCATTGTTGTACAGTGTTCTCACAACTAATTGTAACCTAATTGAAGTAGTTGTCGATTGCATTGTTATCGTCTGGTTTGTAATTTGTTTTTGTGGAATCTGACCAGATAATTGACACAGGAAAAACATAAAACACAATTTCCTACAAAAAACAACCACTTCTACCTCTAACCTTGAGTATTTAACAAAAGTTTCGTAAATATTGAACGATTGTTATGAGATGAAACTTTTGCAACTGTATAAAAGTCTCATTTGATTTTGTTTTCAAGGGTCTTCACAACGATCCCACTTTCTTTCCTGAACCAGACAAATTCAATCCAGAAAGATTTAGCAAAGAAAACAGAGAGAAAATAAAACAGTACACCTACATGCCATTTGGAGAAGGCCCACGCTTCTGCATAGGTAAGTATTCGGTGAAAATAACGGGGTGTTCTTGTCTCATATACTACAGTATTTGCGATGTATGAGATTTTAAAACATTATCTTGGTTATTGCATTGTTCTTCTGATCAAATCCTGTCTCGTAGTAAAACTGTTAATAGTAAATTACGCTACTAGTCCAGTAAACCCATTTTGGACGAATGGCTTACGATATTTTATTCCGTACCTTTCGTCGATTAAAATTTTGTGGATGTCGTATGCCATGGCAATAGCCCTAAATGATCTATGAGGTACATATTATCATATTATGTCTATACGTAATTGGACAGTCTGTTCCTCAGGGTGCATGGAACCGTATTGTACATACTTCTGTATACCAACCATCGTCATTGATCAGTTGTAGACTATTTTCATGGATGTGAATATCTGGGAACGCAGAGTTCATTGATGTGTTCTCTTCATTTGGGTAATTTTCCTAACTTTAAAATTATTACGACTAAGTAGAACAGTCTGTGAACTGCTTGGCCACTCGTATAAAATCAGAGTGAATCACCAACCTTAAAATATACCCTAAGATAAGTTTAATATTAATTGATCTACATTGAACTTGGCACTTGTAGACTTTAACAGGCATCAAATACACTTAAAAGGCTTCAGCTTTTGATATTGGAGGAGAAGTCATAATTAATTGCAGTGACAAAATTCAATGATAGATTATTGGCTATTAGTCCAGGAATTTTAGGAATTCAAATGCCATTCGACCTAACAAATTCGAACTACCTAGAAATTTTGCACAGCTGTTAAGTAAGCCATGTTGTTGAAAATGTCAAAAGTCCCCGGAAATCCCTGCTGTGCTTCAGCCGCCATCTTGGAAAATGGCGGCCAATTTTCACTTTTTTGACAATATTTCCCAAACTATTGGTATTAGAGAATTTTTGTAAATACAAAAGTTAAAGAACACCTAAAAATACACATTTTTTATATTACAAGGTTTGCTCTATGTCTAACGGCTATTGAGATAAATAATAAAAATAGTTTTAAATTTAAAATTCCTAAGTTATTCTTATGAAGGAAAAGAAAGTTGTTGCAGTTTGCTTATTTATGGATATATTTTTATCAAACTTGGCAAACTTATTTATTTTATACTAAGCTAATGATATTTAACATAATTACACACTTTATAACCCTTCCAATAGCAGTAAACGTAGTACTTGTTAAATTTAAAGTTATTTAAATAGGGATTCTATCTTTCATTTTTAGGTATTATTTTAATAAAAATCCAGGCAGGCAAATGGAAATTCATTTTTAGACACGATTGTTTATTTTTCCTTATTAGTATTAAAGAGAAATGGAAAATGGCGGCCGATTTCTTTTAATGAATCCTTAATTGTCAACATTATCAAAAATTACCAAGAGCTAAATAATATTCGCTCAATCATTATTTGTTTAAGCTCACTCAAACTATACTGGCACTCATCATTACTTTCGATGTATTTACACAGAAAGCTATATAAAAGATGTATTGAAAGCTAAAGATGCAGTTGAATCTTCTGGACGACCTGACAAGTCTTTCTTTGCAATGCGCATGCATCTGTGGTAACAGTACTTATGATAACGATTCATTAAAAAAAATTGGCCGCCATATTCCATTTCTCTTTAATACTAATACGGAAAAATTAACAATCGTGTCTAAAAATTAATTTCCATTTGCCTGCCTGGATTGTTATTAAAATAATACCTAAAAATGAAAGATAGGCCTAGAATCCCTATTTAAATAACTTTAAATTTAACAAGTACTACGTTTACTGCTATTGGAAGGGTTATAAAGTGTGTAATTATGTTAAATATCATTAGCTTAGTATAAAATAAATAAGTTTGCCAAGTTTGATAAAAATATATCCATAAATAAGCAAACTGCAACAATTTTCTTTTCCTTCATAAGAATAACATGGGAATTTTAAATTTAAAACTATTTTTATTATTTATCTCAATAGCCGTTAGAGATAGAGCAAACCTTGTAGTATAAAAAATGTGTATTTTTAGGTGTTCTTTAACTTTTGTATTTACAAAAATTCTCTAATACCAATAGTTTGGGAAATATTGTCAAAAAAGTGAAAATTGGCCGCCATTTTCCAAGATGGCGGCTGAAGCACAGCAGGGATTTCCGGGGACTTTTGACATTTTCAAGAACATGGCTTACTTAACAGCTGTGCAAAATTTCTAGGTAGTTTGAATTTGTTAGGTCGATTTTCCTAATATTCTTCCACTATATTGACTAAATTATAATTACATTGAGATCAGCTGATTGTGGATTGTTGAAGGTATGAGGTTCGCCAAGGTGACGGTCAAGACGGCATTGGTGACTCTTCTCAGGCGATTCCAGTTCCGATTGGACGCAAATGTTCCGATTCCATCTAAAATTGAGCCCAGAACTGTCATCACACTTCCGGCGGGAGGTATGTCGGTCATACTGGAACCTCGATCAGCTGTTTTGACTGGCAGAGCGTAAATCTAGAACTCAGGATAAAATCAGAAAATTTCCTTAAGATTTACCGTTGACTTTTGGTTACAGAAGTAGACACCCCATCTATATGGATCAGTTGTAGACAATGTTTTATTCAATAAGTACATAATTGAATGAATATATTTCGTTTAAGTTACTGTGATAGTTTTTGAGATGTGTTGTAAGTTTTTATTTAATCCTTCAACACTAAGTTCTCAACTTTGTTAGTTTTTCTTTGTGTTATCTTGATTAGGTTTGTTTTTAAAACTTAATTGTGATTGTAAAAATTGTAAACATTTATACTATGTAGAAAATTTAATGTAATAAATCATTCACTCATTCAGTTAATTGAAAGAAAAGACGCTTTGGCAGAAACGTCTATTCTATGGTAGTTCTAATGGATTTAAGTACACTTTCTCATTTTATATTGATCCATTTACTATATTAATAATGCCCAAATACATGATGCTTAAAATGGTTATATGCATATATTTTTTAAATAGGGATGTTATTTCTTAAACTTAAATTTGTATTGAACAGAATAGAACAAATAATTTTAGATACCGATGTAGATTGTCTTTACTAAATAGACATATACAAATAAGTTTAAATTTTATTATTTAAGGGGAGTCTGTACCTTTTTGGTGAAAAAAAAAGATTTTTTTATTTTTATCTTAAAAAATTCTTCAATTCTTTGTGTTTATTTATATATATAACACTTCATATTTTGCAAAAGTTTTTTTATAAAAAAAAAAACAAATAAATAGTACTGCACGATATTTTTCAATGTTCTTAGGATGCGCGACCTAAGCCCTTTAGAACTTCAAGGGCGTTTTACCGAAAATAGTGTTTTGTAAAAGTTAGGTACGCATAACTTCAAAACTATAAGAGATAGCAATATGAAACTTCACACACATCTTCTTCACATCATGGTGAGTAGTGCTTGATACCTCTTTTAGTTTAAAATGATTTGGTTTAAGTCATTACCAAGGTAACATACAAAATAAATCAGGTAAAAAAATTGCATATTTTATTTATAAAAATAAAAAAATAAAAAACAAGAATATATTTAAGTTTTAACTAGAAAGCCGGGTACCCTATGGCATAGAGATCATGTAGTAAAAATTTCACTTTAAATGGTTTATAGGTTGCTGAGGAATGCGTACCTATATTGGTGCATATCTTCCCATTTAAATAGCATTAGGGCGTAAAAGGGACAGACTCCCCTTAAATAAATTTTAATTCAACCTATTTTTTAATGTTAACCTTCCCTTTCCATTACAATGTTGATATTCATACGATCACACACTCTTACCAATTACTGCTACCAATAAAACTCTGCAAACATTAAAAACCGAAGGATTGAAGTATTAAAAAGATTATATTACTGCTCTTTGGAAAGCAGAATTAATTCCCTCATTTCCCGCAGCATCTGCCAGTAATACCCTCTCTGTTATACTATGAGAAAATTTTGATTCCGGACGATGAACCATGCATACATATCTAGTCCAGTTTTGGATACGAAATTTGTTTGCTTTTAACTTGCATCAAGGGTTAACAATGTTTATGAAAGTTATTATTTTTTTCATCATACTGTAAAATAAAATAAGTTTATGGTTTTTTATTCTGTATATAAAGATGTATCTCCTTGAACTTTTCTTTTACAAAACAGCACGGTTTTTTTTATTTACTGTTGACAGCAATTTGTTTACAGTTTAAGTTTTTAGTAGTTATTCGTTGTCTGAAGATAGTTAATAATTGGATGTTGTTCAATCGATGCAATGTTCAAGTTTGAGCTCACTTTACGTTTTTTAAATTACTTAAAAAAATTAAAATTATGGAAATTATAATCTACTATTGATTGCAAACCATTATAATTTTAACCTTTGTTTTCTTACCTTAAGTATATTTTTGGATGGATAAAATAAAATGACAGGTTGGGTAGCTGAGTGGTTGAAGTGTTTGCCTAACACTCGGTCACCACGGTTTTATCCTGAGAAAAATCAGTATGCTGGGTACTGTATTAGCTCCATTCCTCATAAGAGAATCTTTGCTGGAATAAAAACAGTTTCCACACTTACTAAGTCAGTTTCAAGAGCTTCAGAAAACATCATATTATAGCATCCAACACCCTCAGCAAGGAATCATTAGGCTTCTATAATTTCCCTTCTGAAATTAAGTTGAGTATTATATTACAAGGAATGTCATTTTTTCATTTGAAACCCAATATGCCTATAACAATAAATATTTAGGGTCGATTTGCTGCTCACAAAAATCTAACAAATTCTTTAATAATATAGATATTTTTCACACTGGACAAGGATCGTTGGTAGGTGTGAATGTTAATTTAAATCAATTAATTATTCAATGAGGTATAGATAGCATTTAAAAATATTATATAAAACTATAGTGTCGCGCATGCTAATTTAATCACATTTCAATCAATGTCAAAAGATCAAAGAATTTATTTTCTTTACTATCCTAGTTCTAAAAATAAAATACTATTGTGTTCTACAATAAACAAAATAAAATATTTGCAGGATCAAACTTTCAAACTCAAGGAAGAACTCAAATGTTGCAGTTATAGAACAGAAATATATTTAAACACCGAGAATGATATTGATATTGATTAACCGCAATATCGTCTATAGCAGCGACCAAACGAGCATACCCTTCATTGTTCCATAGGGTGTTGATTAGTTTGTAGTTGTGTTGACTTGGGCTGCTTGCTTGTTGTATATATTGCATTGAAACACTCTTGTGCTCATACTGCGGCAATGTTTTGAAAACAATATCGACAACGTAAAGGTTTTAAACAGAATGTGTATTATTTATTGTAAACAAACGAGTAAAAATGCACGTTGTGTGAGCAGGAAAATGTGAACTCGGGTTTAAACACTATTGATGTGGTTCTCACATAATGCACAGAATTTCCTGAACAGAGTATTTTATTTGTTTCTTGTTGTGTAAATATAACATGTATGTGGAAACATATGTACAAGTTTGATAAGCATGTGATCCTAGTTAAGTACTAAACATAACAGTATTTTAAAGATTTCTGTGGCATAAATATATTTCGTTCGTTCGTTCTTCGTGATGTTCCAATCCAGAGACAACCTGACCAGCTTAGCCTTAATTTTCTCATTTAACAACTAAAAATCATGATATTTCAGCTATTTGTTAGTAACTATTATAAAAAGCCTACCTACCAAACGTCATAATAATATATTTAAACGTTTAAATACAAATACCCCCGCCACAGCCAACCTGCCGACTAAGCGAATTTCCATTTGTCTGAATTGATTTTCAGTTAAATATATTATACTACTTATTATTACTGGACGTATATATATATATATATATAAATTTGAACGAATGGAGATTTTGGCCTCTGGGGACATCAAAATGAAAAAGTAAATCGGTCCCGGGTCTAGGTCTTACCGTGCCACCTACGGTAATAGCTACTTCCCTATAGGGAAATTCGCTAAAAAAACATAGTGGGATCTTGATAACGAGGCATTTACAAAAAGATTATTCTTCATTTTCGTTTTATTTTTACTTATAAAACCAGTTTCCGGAGTTTTGGCTGCTTACTTTCGGGACAACCTGTATATTGTGAGTGTGTTGGTAATGTTTGTTGCTTAAATAAACTAAAATATTGTACTACTAAAATGGTGTTGGTCTTAAATAAATATCAATCTAAATGACTGTGTTTTCCAGAGATTTGTTAAGATAGTCTAATTTGCTAGCGGTTACCCTGAACCATGCCCTCGCGCCTGCACCCAGACTAACGAAAAGGAAGCGTGATCCATGCGCAGGCCCGAGGAGCGGCTCACAAAACTTTACATAACAAAATGAGAACCATGGATGGAGGCTCAAGAACAACACGCCATTTGAGAGAAACGAGCTGTAATTAACCATTTAAAAAAATAACACAACAATAACATCAACAACAATAATTAACAATAATACATGAATTAAATACTCTCAATTAAACTTTAAAAATTTTGATACCCGTTTACCCTACTAACTTACAATTATTTCATTAATCATTTTCAAATAGGCTAAATTTCAAAAATAAATCTTACTAGCTTTTACCTTTCAAAAAACTTTAAATTAACAAATTACAACATGATATATATAATGACTCTTTTAATAAATTCATTTCATCTGGTAACTATAGAAACTTTAGGGGCCCCAAATTAGAATTCAATAGAATATTTAATAAAATTATAAAATTTAAAAAAGATCAACAAGTAGCCTAGGCTAAAGAATTTAAAATTTAAAAAGAAAAACAATTAATAAATCTCTGTGCACAAATTAACAAATAGGTAACGAAATCTCCAAGTCCAGGACGGTGGTTAGCAATAATTAATTAGGCCTAAAACTTGCGGAATTTGCGGTACTAGTTCATGTCTCTGGGCGAGCAGCACCGGAGGGGAAGCAGGCATGACGGAAGAGGGGGGCCAAGATCCAGGGGTGGCCAAGAGTTGTAATTCCCACTCCGCCAAGGCTGATGCAGACTACCGGTACTCCATGTTCCTCCTCACGGGCCCTGAGTGACAAAACCCAGGAAACACAGTAGTAAGAGTAATAGACTGAGTCCATATCCGCAAGGTTCACTGTCACATCTTTCACCATTTACATTTAGTTCCAATATTTCACTGCTTTAGGCCTAACATATCATTTTCAAGTTTCTAAATTTTTTTAAAGGTTTGTCTCTCTATCACAGCTCTCTATCAATATAAAACATTTCAAACAATAACAATATTTTAAACATAACAATTAACAGGTTAAACAGTACAAGAACGGTAACATTAATATTTGCGGTAAAGGTGTCAGCAGGCTAGACGGGTATGTGACAGTGATAAATTTCACCAATAGAGAGAAAATATTTAAATTGCCTGGTCCAAAGTGGCCAGAAGAACAAGTTAACAGAGAACAAATGACACCTAAACACAGAAAAATACTTTAAAATTGACAAAAAACGTTCCATACAAAAATTTAGGCCTAACGCAACGACTCATGTATTTTTGCTAATTTCTCCAAAAGTTGTGATCCGAATTTGTTCGGAATGGTCTTAAAAGCTGGGGGAAATGTTCCAGCAGCTTCTCCAGACCATCCCAAACCTTAA